CCAAAATGTTGCACCTATATTAATGGGTTCCAAAATCGCTTTTTTTTTTTACTTTTATTTTTATTTATTATCTATAGAAGCGGCAACATTAATTCGATGCCATGTTTGAATTTGAATATCCATTATCGACCAGTGTAAGCTTAAAACGCAAATTAAGAATTGGTTTATTGTTTTGTTTACTTTTTGATGAAAATATATGAGAAATAATCTCATATTAAACATGCCAATATGAGATATGAGAAAAAGTTAAAATATATGAGTCTCATATTAAAAATAGGAGGTCTGGCAACCCTAAACATAACATTACAGATATTGGTAAACATGCTTAGGCCCGGTTTGTTCATCTTCAGATAAGCTCCGTTCTATAATTCTAATGGTCGGCGGATAACTGGCCAACCAATGGGATAACATATTTCGTTTATATATGGGTCAGATTGCATACCTGACAGTTTATCAGAAGGTGAATAAACCGGGCCTAATATTGGTAACCTTTGGCATAACGCATAACTGTTTGAGACTAGTCTCCATAGACGCGAAATAGCGATTTATTTTTTGCGGATTTCTTTCCTATTGGTTCAAATTTCACATTCAAATGTCCAATGTCAAATTCCAACACAACAGTAAAAATGTCACTTTAAGCGTTGATTATCGTTAAAACTCCCTCAAAATGGACGGTGCAAACGACCACAAATTCAAGAAAAATAGATTATTGATTGCTAATGCGAAAATACCAGAATTTTGCTGGAATGAAATGTCAAATTACCAGAAATATTACTAGATATATTTTGAAAATCTTCATTACTAAAACCGGGGTCGATATTACCAGATCTGGTAATTATTTTACCAAGTTGGCAACACTGTTGGGGATGCTGGAGTGAAACAGAACACCAGGTGCGGAAGAAACGCCACTAGAAAATATGTCACAGTTTACTTTGGCAGTTTACGCAGTTTACCTGTTACCTATGTTTAAAAAAATATGTCAAAATATTTCTGAATGAGAATTCGTCTTGGTATTGGTGTGCATTTTAAATCCAGATAAATGTTTCCTAAATTAAAAAAAAATCAGATTTTACACAAAACACAAGAAGTTTGGCCATTTTTGCTCTACTCGGAAGAAAAATCCGTCAATATTCAATAATAAGGAAAAAGGTTTGTTTGGACTTCAGTTCAAAATTGGACTGCGCTTTCGCATTTGGTCATATCAAACCTATATAAAGAAATGTGAAAGCGTAGTTCAATTCTGAACTGAAGTCCGAACAAATCTAATATTGAAAATATTGACATTGGAAGAACTATTTTGAAAGCTGATTTGATTACAGAAACCTTTATTATAAATAGTTCGGATCGCATCCACCGCGCCATGACGGCGCATTGTTCCCCAAAATTTTATTAGGCAGTTTGCCTTCTATCCGTGAGGATATGTATTCTGTGGGTACATGTTTAAAATGACAGCAGAGAAAATCAGTTTATAGAAAAGTGTAGGTATTCTTTGATGCTTTTTCTTAACATAAGTATAACAGTTCCAGATTTTTTTACAATAAAGATATGTTGTTGTTTAACTTATGTTACATTATAATATAAATTATGCAATTATTCTGATAAAATTCGGGAAAATAACCGAACTACCAGTTAATCGGAATAACCGGTGTTTTATATCAGTTATAACCGGGCAGTTAAAACTGTTGTTAAATTAACCGGTTAATGGAATAACCGGTGTTTTAAAAAAATTTGACATCCCTACCTTTTTCACTTTCTCAGGTTAAAACCTAAACGAGAAGAGATAAGGTGCGGCTTCCTGATTGGTTCCCCAGTAAATCTAGAAAATACCAAACAAGAAAAGCAGAGGTTTTTTATTTACAAAAATATTCGAGAAGATATTCAGGAATTTAGGTCAACGGTTTTTTTATGTGTGGTTGGGCAAAAAATTATAAAATATATATTTGACTGGAAACGACTAGAATTAAAAATAATAAGTGTAAAATATTCAATGTGAGATAGATAATTCGAACAATATCTTTCTTGTCTATCTCGTTGCCAAAACGTGACGCTACGTGACGCTTCTTTCAAATCAGTTTCCATTCTCGTTCAAATATCAGTCCGCCGCCAAAGGGCCGATTTCTCAATAGCAAGTCACCCCGGGGTTACCTAAGCATAACTCCAGGGTAAACATTGCAACAGGACACGTTTACCCTGGAAACCGACTCAAGTTTCACTTCAAACAAAAAATATATATATCTATATCTGTGTAGGTGAAGTGGTCGATTCTTATATTCGTATCTAGACTTATTTGACTTATGATTTCTTTTATTCTTCCACACTTTTCGATTTTACGGCTAGTTGCGTGTCGCATATCTCCAAAATTCATAAGTACGGCCATAGTATGCCAGGTATGCCAACTCAAGATCCTGCTATCCCTGCATTGCGCTTTGTTGTGCTCAAGGTTGTTTGAGAGAAGCAGGTTGCCTGATAACTTTATGACGTCATCTGGGGTGCCCATACATAGTGCAAATCTCCATAAGGCACCTCAGATACGTCATCAAAGTTACCCATTACCAGACAACCTTAACCTTATATTGAATATGTTCCATACTTTAAGTTCACCCTGTATATTTGAAAAAGAACTATATATAACTATCATTTTCCAATTTTTTCATCTCGCAGGAGTAGGGGCCCAGTAAAATTTTCGAACACGGGCCCGAAGCATCGTCACTACGCCACTGGTATGTTGCAGTACGTTTTTAAAACGAGCAACAGTCAACGACTTACAAAAATTTTTTTAATATCCTTGTCAGAGTTTTTTTGAAAAGGTACCTATAAGAAGGAGGTTTTCAGGCATTTGAATTGTTTTCAATACCTCCGCTAGGAACAATTAAGAACGTTTTCTATAGGTTCGTAAAAGCATGTTTCCATAAAAAGTCATAAAAGGGACGTTTTTCACACGTTTGTAAAAACTAGTTTTAGGTTTTAGACCATATTGATAACGTTTCGGAATTTTTTTTTCGGATAGGTACTAATAAGGATGTTTTCATAAAAAGTCATAAAAAAGGTGTTTTTTAAAGATATCTGTTGGTTGTTTTCAAGAACACCATTAAAAACATGTATTTTAGATAAATATGGATATATTTAATATATGGACGTCCGACGTCCGGAGTAGTTCGACTTGAGATGTTCTTGAGCCGATACTTTTAATAATAATCCTTTATTTAGCAAATAAACGCTAGTTTACTAAATTTCACAATTTTACAAAGGTAAGTGTACCTACCTATATTACTGATAAGTGATAAGAATCTTAGCAAAGCAATATTTTGTGTGGGTCCAGGTAAAAAATGGGGGTGCATAATATGAATTTTCAAATATCATTCCTACATCAATAATCCCTGAAAATTTGAACAGCCTAGCATTAGCCCTCCAGATGATATGAAAGGGGGTTGTCTAAATTTCAACACCCTGTATTTTGGAAACGACGCACTTGCGACCATCGGTGTCCTATCTCCAATTACTTCTCTATGGTTCCTCTATATACCCTAGCATTTTTGACCAGTGGAACGGGGACACCCTGTATAGAAGTATTGTATTATGACTATAGACTTGATTGGTAACTGTTAACTTGGTTTTCAAATAGGATGGTGCATTACCTACTTCTATTTTGAAAGAGACGTTGTACCGGAAAAATTCCTGCACTGAGAGCTATTGCATTTATCTAAGCATGGTTTTAATGGCAGTGTACTTATCACATGATAATATTATTCTCATATCGCGGTTTTGAATCTTCTGTAAGCGATTTATTTCATTTTGCTGCAACAAATATAAAATTGTTGCACGGTATGTAAAGTGTGATAATACCGATGCGTTAAAGACTACTAATTTTGATCATCTTGATGAACTATGTGAACATTTGCTAAGGTGACTAATTCCATAGCTGATTTTCGAAATAGTTAAGTTGCAGTGTTCCTTAAATGACATTTTGTTGTCTACGACTACACCTAGATATTTAATTTTGTCGACACTATCTAAAGTCTCATTACCCATTACGATATTATGTTGGTTTACCAAGAATAACTGTTTTATGCTTTCCTTAGCGATTATAATATACTTTGTTTTACTCTTGTTAACCTTAAGAAGATTTCTCCTGCAACTGATCAATTCTTCCTATAGAACACTATTTATTTTAATAACCAAAAGTTCAATGTTTTCAGAAGATCCATAAACCAAGGTATCATCAGCGAAAAGATCTAGCCCCAAATCATCCTCATCCACTATATCGTTTATATAAAGCACAAACAAAAGATGAGCTAGCACACTCCCTTGTGGAACTCCTAACTCATTGGAAATTTGACCAGAGATTTTTCCATAGATAATACCAACAGAATATGTTGGGTAAACTCTTGGTTCTGCTGAACGATTCAACTTTTCAATGATAGAACGTCACCCTCTGAATGACATGTCACCACACAAAACACAGTGTTGACAATTATAAACACTCTCAAATTATGCTTGCAAAAATGGCGGCCGTTTGCAAAACATGTTTGGTTTCAACATATAAATTCAACGTAGCGTTCAGCAGAACAATCGCAAACCGTTTACCAACGTTTGTATCTGGTGAACGCGGCCATTGAAATTAAGATAATGGCCGCGTTCACGATTGTTCTGCTGAACGCTACGTTGAATTTGTGTTAAAACCAAACATGTTTTTCAAACGGTCGCCATTTTTGCAAGTATAATTTTAGAGTGTTTATAATTTTCAATACTGTGTTTTGTGTGGTGACCTGTCATTCAGAAGGTGACGTTCTATCATTGAAAAGTTGAATCGTTCAGCAGAACCAAGAGTTTACCCAACATATTCTGTTGGTATTTGTAAACTGTTTGTAAACCGTTTTGGTTCTGGTGAATATAGTCAGGCACGCTACCTCAGAGGCACGCCACCCATAAGACTTTTGGCTTTTTATTCAGTGTCTCAGTAATTTTAGTGCCTGGTGAAAAGGAACGACTGTTCAATGTGGCTGGGACAGAATTTCTATATTTTTAGATTTTCAAAGTAGTAGATTTTAACCGCAATTTTTTTTATAGAAAATTTATTTGTGTAACATATTATATTTTATCACTCGGTTCTTCTATTATAGCAATCGTTACTGGGTTCACGATAATATTTTTAAATTCTTCGTAAAACAAAGATACAAAGATCATTATAGATGTGGCACAAACCCATTCTGCATTCGTACTTATTTGATGAGCTTCGTAGCCCCCGTCAGTTTGTTTCCACTTGGTCATATCATCCCCTAAAAAAAATTCAAATACCATATTTGATTTAGTTTTTGTATAGAGATACTCACCTTCAAAGTTTCCATACGCTACAAAAGCAGCCGCAATAAAAATCACACAAGATAACAAAGCTATTATAGCCAAAACTATCCTGAACATTGTGGTTTTTCTTTGACCAATTACAGGAGATATATTCATGTATAGCAACGACTAAAAAATCAAGTTAGGAAATTGAAAACCTTTTATTTGGTTACTTATGTTATTTTGAACCTGTAAACACAAATAGATAGCTCCACCACCAAACGTCAGAATAGCCCCGGTCCAATGTATAGCAAAGCAGTTAGTTTCTTGGAAATTGGCTACTACATTAACTCCAACACCTGCCATTACTCCAAAGGCAGCAGTTATTTTATTGAGGTGATATTTTTCTTCTATGTGGTGTTTTTGATGCATTTCGTTTACTTGCAGGTATTTGAGGTAGATTGCAAATATAACTAAAAAACAATATTTATTGAAATATTGGAATTGCGTTAGCACTGAATGAATGTAGATGATATTTTTATTTATTTTTTTACTCATTACCATCACGCAAGGTAACTAAATGTAATTGGTGTGATTGATTGACCTCTAAGCTAAAGAAATATACGATACTTAGATTATATAGGGGGTCCCCCTTCAACTGGTCAAAAATGCTAGGGTATATAGAGGAACCATAAAGAAGTAGTTTGAGATAGGAAACCGATAGTCGGAAGTGCGTCGTTTCCAAAATACAGGATATTGAAATTTGAACAACCTCCTTTCATATCATCTGAAGGGCTAATGCTAGGCTGTTCAAATTGTCAGGGATTATTGATTTAGGAATAATATTTGAAATAAAATTTGAAAAAAAGCAATTTGTTTCAAATTTTTATTTTTTATTTGGGGTGATTCCAGGTACAGAATGGGAGTGTGCTATAAAAATTTTTGAATATCATTCCTACATCAATAATCCCTGAAAATTTGAACAGCCTAGCATTAGCCCTCCAGATGATATGAAAGGGGGTTTTTCAAATTTCAACACCTATTTGGAAACGACGCACTTCCGACCATCGGTGTCCTATTTCAAATTACTTCTCTATGGTTCCTCTATATACCTTAGCATTTTTGACCAGTTGAACGGGAACACCCTGTATGTATCTCGAAACCTCTTAAAATATCGTTTTAGAAAACATACTTCTATGTGAACTGCCAGTTGTAATTAGGAATTGCACAACTGTGAGACTGAGACAAATCTAGGGGTCATTTTTGGCCATTGGTTGGTGCTCAGCAGCAACTGGGTAATTATTGAGCAAACTGGTCATCTCTTCTTCTAAGAGTTGATTTGGATGAATGTCGATTCTGTGTTTTGGTATCAGATTCCTAAAATGGCAGCTGATCTGAAGACGGGAACAAGCCTGACAGGTCTCCGTCGACGACAATTACATAGATTGTTACAAAAACTAAAAGAAGGTAATACGCTTCTGGAGATGGTAAACCATTGTCATCATTCATCGCCAAACTGTTTCAACTAATGCGGTCTCACATTGTCAGTATTAATTTTAGTAGTGTCAACCCTGGAACATGGAGATTCATTGGTAGGGGTTTGCAACCATCATAGGAAATATCTACTGGATGGCATTTGTATGTGTCGTTCCTGTATTTTTGCACCAGATATTTGGCGTGGATCTTGGTAGCCTACAAAGGCGTTACAAGTTGTGTTGTATTATGTTTGTCATAATATTGTTTGCGTTACATCGAATAACGATTGGGAGAGACTGTTATGAGTATGAGCAAGAAGTACATTTCTAGTTGTAGGTACGTTATAAGTAGTCGCTAGGGAGTGGATTTGAAGTTCAGCAAGTCTTGGAAAATGGTCCTGCAGACCAGCAGGTGTGCTTCGCAAATAGCGTCGCTGTCTCTAGAATATCGTAGATGATCAGAGCGTATCTTTACGTTATTATTGATGGGCCTGCAGTGATCTGGGTATTGAGATAATGCGTACAATAAAGAATTATTATCTCTTGCGTTATGCTTTTCAGTCCTTGGTAGATGATGGAATCCTGTTCGATTGCTCAAAACGGTAATGGAATAGTAATAGAAAAGGGTATTGGTTCAGGCTTGATTTAGGGGTATTCTTAGGGATGAAAACGATTCTATCCTGGATCTAATGTCTTAGGGGTCTTCAGGGTAACCGATAATTTCCCTAAGTTGGTTTTTGGGTATTAGTTTTGGGTCCGGTAATTTCATGATTCTATTGTTGAGCTCTAATGAGCTGTTTTTCAGTGTAATAAATCTCAGGAGTCAGGAGGCCTACTTGACGTATGGCGGATGATCCATAATTGATTATTGATAGGCGGTAAATCTCTTTGTTTTATTTTTCATGTTAGTAGTTACATATCATATACCATACATATTACTGCATATATATGAAAGAACGTTGACTGGGTCATGGATTTTCATCTGGATGTTCAGCTATAAGATCACGTATATTATCTCATAGTTAAAGATGCGTGGAATCTTTCCAGAGATTCGTTGGATTGTGGGTGGATTTTCTGATGAAAAAATCTAGATTATTTTCTATGCAATAGATGGTTTTAACATTTGACAAAGGAGTGGGACTACTGTCTCGTTGTTCTATGAAAGGGGAATTATGAAATATTTTCCTAATAGATTTGCTAGATAAAGTAAAAATAGTTAAAAATCAAAATTTACTTCGAATAGATCTTCCGTAATTTTATATTCGTCTTCAACATCGATACGGGAACGGGGGTGGGGGTGAAGAGGAAGCAAAGTTGGATTGAATCGTTGTAGATTGTTTTTCCAGGAAAAAGAGACAATTTTTTTGCGGCACTTGTCCACAATTTGTATTTGCAACTCGTTAACGGACCGTTTTATAGAGTTTTATAAAGGTGCTATATTTGATCTTAGAGTTTCATCGTCATCATTCCCAATTTCAACGACTGAAAATTCTTGTTGCCACGTAGAGGGTCGTTTGTACTCAATTCTATAGTAGTATTCTTCAAGTTTCAAGCCCCAACGATTTAAACGACTTCCAGGATCTTTAATTAGAGAAGGCCAAGACAAGGGAGTTAAGGGACGATGGTTTGTGATAAGACCGAATTTTCTGCTGGAGAGATAAGTTTGGACTGTTTATGTTTAACTGTTCTGGTATAGAGTATTTGGTTTCAGTATTACACAGACTTCGAGAGCCGACGCCTTATAGGAAAATCTTCTTCTAGGAAATAAATCCGTCGATGGCAAATACGCTTGGTTCAGTTGCAAAGAATAAGCGTCTTTTCAAAACTGGGGTAGATTAGAATCGGATGGGAAATTATTACATTTTTCAACTCATTGAAGGCTGGGTTTGGAACATTTCTCTGGAAAAGTTTAGTCAATGGCTTCGATGTTTTGGCAAAATTGGGAAAGAATCGACGTTATTATTTTGCTAATCCTAGAAACTATTGATTATCTTTTGAATCGATAGGTTTGAGAAAATTTTGAATGCATTTTATTTGAGCAGGATTTGGTTTTATATCTTCTTGAGTGATAAGGTGTTCACGGTACGCTACTTCTTTCCGAAGAAGCAAGAAGCTCGCATTTGTCCGGCTGGATCTTGTTGCCTTTACGAGGGCATTCAAAAATGTCTGTTAATCTTCAAATATGTTCATCGATGATAGGTGAATAAACGATGATATCTTCCATATTAACCAATCATCTTTTATTTCAAATACCTTGAGGAAAACCACCTATTTAAAATATTATTTCTTCAAATTTTAACTTTTAAAAAATGTTTACTGAATAAAATTAAATATTGCAACCATGTACTGCGCCACAGAAAACGAAGATACCGAAGCGAACAGGAGACAGAAGAGAATAGGCAACTAGACGCTAGACTGGAGAACAGACTGGTTCCTTCAAACGCGTGTCTGTAATTATTCATTATTCAATTTTTATTCCTATTTTGCATTAAAATTAATTGTTCAATCCAATTTGTTATTAGTGTGTGTGTCAAGGAGCGATCACCAGGTCAGTTAAATAATTATTATTATTTTGTTTTTGAGAGTTCAATTTATGCAAGTACCTATTATTTTGTTCATTTTTATGTTTTTTTTGTTTGTTTATAACATTTTTTTTAACGTGCATTGTTCATGTATTTAACCAAAATCGTTTCATACTGTAAACAACACAGATAAAGGAGTAAATTAAAACCTAAGAAATTATGTGCTGTCTTTTTGTGCTGAGATTTTGATTTTGTGGATTCAGAGCGTGCATTAGGGCCTTGTTGAATTTACTAACATTTTCCTACCCTGACGAGCGAATATCCTACCGAACAAAGGAAAGAGATATTGGCTCAAAAACAACTATAGCGTGAGTTTACGTAACCAGGGACCTCGGTACCTGCCACAGATGGGCTAACTAACCAAAACTCTTCAGTATTGATTATAGGTATTGTTGATTGAATGTAGAGTGTGTAATTGAAATTTTAGCACGGGAACATGGATGGTACCTAATTTAAACCTTTATTGACTTAAATTATTGAATTATTGACTCACAATTATTATTAAAATGACACAGTATGTTTCGATTTCTGAGGAATGTTAGATCGAGGTTTTCTCTGCCGTTCTCTTTTCCCTCGAGAATTCTAGGTCGAGAATGGTACGTTTTTCTTTGATAATAAAGGAGACTTTTCACAAATTTTTCGTTTCTTTTACATATCACAACTTCCCTTAAATTTCCCAAATATTTGCTATGTCGAGCGCATGTCCAGTAAGTAAAATTGAGTAAGTTTTCACAACGTAGCTCCTATTTGTTTTTCATTTCATTTTTCAGAAGATTTGTTGTTTAAAAGGTAATAAAAATTCTCATCGTTCAATCTTACTGAGCGAACCCGGGTATGTTATACTACAACCTTTATTGTCCATGACTCTCTTTCTGGAATGTGGATGCCGCGCTCTTTAGCCTAAATGGCATTCGAACAAATGCGAAGTGGCAATTTCCACGGAAAAAGCTTTGGTGGGAACATTTTTTGGTGTTTGGTATTCACCTGTATTTGATGGAAACCCGAGGTTGAGTCTGGGGGAGGGTAAAGTGCTTTGGTTCAGAGTATCGGAAATGTTGGGAAAAGGGAACAGGGCTAGGATCACGGCAAGTAGAATTCTACTAGAATTGTACTTTCATGACGTCAGGTAGTCACGTAGTCAGGTAGTCCCACTCTGTAACGAATAGAAATATTTCTCTATCTATATTGACGTCCCCTCTCTATTGATTTCGAAAAGAGAAAAGAAGATAGCAAGTGGATAACGATCTCTATCCATTACAGAGTCCCTGCCCAAGGTTGCCTAGCAAGCGTCATCATCGCCTGTAATGTACGGGATGCATCAGAACATTCTGGCGCCCAACCTAGCCATATCCCGGAAATCTAACCAATCAAATTCGATGTGGCTATTTTGAGCAGCATGATGTTACTACATGGGCTAGATCAGGGGTCAGAATGTCGGGACGGCCTGTTGGACTTGTTCGTTAGAAGTGCCGCATGTTTTGTTTATTTGTCGCTCATTGCTCTATTGAAATTTATGCAAAAGACATTTTAATATTTATTCATGATGGAGATGGATGCGATAAAACTACCCACAACGTTTGTTTATTCGAATGTGAAAACACTTATCGTACAAAAGGAAAAATGGTACCTACATTACTGGCCGTTTGCACCGACCAATTTATGAAAGGCTTAACGATAAGAAGGTCCTTAAAACAGTCCGTACAAACGGCCATTAATGTAGCTACTATTTTTGCTTTTTTTATTTCATATACGTGCTTTTTCAATTAAGGCAAAACACCTAATGTTAAATCTAAATTTATTAACCCCTTATATCCAAAATAGGAATATTTTTCAATTCCTCCGTTTCAATCAAAAAACTAACAATTTAATCAATATATTCATGAAAAAAACCAATAGGGAACACGAATAAAATTTGAATTTCTGAATTGAATAACACGTCCAAAAGACAGCTATAGATTTTTCAATATCAAACATTGTTTGTTGAATTTAATACTAATGCTCGCCTGTAACATTCTGACCCTGAATCTAGCCCATGCAATAACATTCTGACCCTTTAAATAGCTCCATCATCGTCCCGACATTCTGACCCCTGATTCAGCGCATGTAGTAACATTATGCCACCCAAAATAGTCACATCGAATTTGATTGGTCAGGTTTCCGGGCTATGGCTAGATTGGGTGGCGGAATGTTTTGATGGGATAAATAGGTTGAGGGTGACGTCATGAAAGTAGAATTTTACTTGTGATCCCAGCCCAGGAACGTTGTCATACACAGGAGCTTCGTTAATTTGTTGTAGTCAATTACGACGCCCATTTAGATTTACTAGACGCATTCTTTCTCAGGAATGACCCAGACAAGGCGAGACCACGAAAATACGGAATGACAAATGCGAAAATGCCCTGGTTTAGCCTTTTGTTGATTTCACTTCCTCTTTGTGGATTTGAGGATATCTGTAAGATTTTTACCGGTTCGGCGGTTAAAATTCGAAATTGTTGATTCGCTTTCATGTTCAGAAACAAATGGTCCAATAGCTAAATCACAGTTTTTCCATAACATTACCTACCTTTTTCGTGTTGCATTTGAATTTGAAGATATTTTCACTCCCCTATTATGTGTCATTGAAAGTTTTATTATTTTCGGTAATTACCTGCAAAAGAATCACTTCCATAATAGTAATTTATTCTTTGGATCCTAAATTTATAAGGCATTGATAATGTTCCAGACAATCCAACACTAAAATTCCATCAAAATCAATGTTTCAAATGTCTTAGTTGTAAAGAGGATCTTTGATTGAAAATGGAATAAATGTTGATGCACGGATCGGGAGTTTTTGATCGATCATACCTACCTATTACCTTGTCGCCTGCTGATGGTCACAATTTTAGGGAAACGATTGGGGAGCTTCTGTATTTTCTATCAAAATAGAAATCTCTGCACCTGTATCAATGAGTAGTTTACATTTAATATGAGCGTCGAAAGGTGTTTTGAATTAAGTAACGGTAAGGATCTAAAGAAATACTGGTTTCTAGAAATCATGTTGTTCTGATGTCAGATTTAAGAGTTATATTTGAGTCTGGATATCCGACGTCTGATTCTAAGCAGTAATTTCTGATGGAACATGATTTGATGGGAGTTGTCAGAATATTCTGACGAGTTTCGACCACAGTTTCGACATTCAATTTGGTGGTGCATTGATGATTGTATTCGCCTTTTTCGTAATAACCGTGCATCTTGTTCAGAATAGGAAGTCTCTGCTCAATCGAATTCGCAGAATCATTTGAATTGTTGCTTTTTCGCTGGAGAGAATAATATTTGGGATTTCGTTACCGTACAACATATGCGTGGGAATGGTGAATGCCTTGCAGATTGTTAATAGCATTAGCTCATCTTTTTAAATCTTTTGCATGAAGCTAGAAAATCGCTTTGGCAACGAGAAAACCAGCAAAAAAGAAAAAAGTATAAAAAAGTAGCTTTTGGTCTGAATAGCCTGTTAGCTTAGACCACGTAATGTTAATTGAGTCGTAAGAATTTTGAAACAGAAGTGTTTAATGTATCAATGAGAGAGAAGTAGTGCCTAAAAATATGGTACCAACCCGATTAAAAAAAATCTGTCATGAAGATTTTCCGGATAATTCTTTTATATTAATTATGTGCTAATTCACTTGAAATTGTAACTATTACACCTGAGAAATTGGAGACTGCACTCAAATCACTGAAGCCAGATTCTAGTCCATGAGAGGATAAAATCTCTGCCATTTTCCTGAACAAGTGTGCTGCAGTTCTGTCACATCCCCTCTCAGCCATGATGAACAATCTTCTTAGGCACGGCAAACTATCAAGGAAATGCCTATTACAAGAAAGGTATAGTATTTTTAATTTGGATTGAAACACTAAAAAACATCTAAGCCGTTTTCTCGCGTCCACTTTTTTCACATTGGTTCAAAATAGGTTTGAAACGAGCAATGGTGTTTTCACTGACTGTTTCAAACTGCGAGAAACGGCTTAGATGTTTTTAAGTGGCTCAATTCAAATTAAAAATACTATAACAAGCACCTGCCTGAAAACTATAGGCTCATAAGCTTAACAAGAACTCTTTGCAAATGCATGGAGAAAATCTTGGTATCTGAGATGACTCGATTTTTGCTAGGAAATGGAATCATCCCACCTTCCCAACACGGGTTCATGACTGGACAAGGACAGATGACTCTGGCTGTTGATGTATTCTACCTAGATTTTGAAAAAGCTTTTGACAAGGTACCATTTGCGCGGCTTCTTCATAAACTCCATCATTATGGTATAAGAGGACTCAACCTAATCCAAGATTTTCTACAGTATCGACAGTTCTGTGTTAGGATGGGGTCCATGAAGTCAAATTCCTGTGAAGTTTTTTGTGGTGACCTCCAAGGCTTAGTCCTTAGCCCTCTATTCTTCCTTGTATATATTAGTGACCTGCCAAATGGACTGAGGAGTCAGATGCCGTCATTTGCGGATGATAACTGTTATTATAGTAATCCTGTAATGCAGAATGGATGCGTTAAAGGAAATATAGATGCCATCAAACAGTGGACAATCACCTGGAAAATGCCACTGTGTGAAGTGTTCAATTCTCCACCTGGACAGAAAGAACCTCAGGATTCTTCATTAAGTCTATGTATTGAAGAGATGAAACCCTATCAATGGCAGGACAAAGAAGTCAAACTCCATCATGTTCCTGATTTCCAAGGCATTCAAAGTTCTCACACCACGAATGTTTGTTAAGCTATACAAAAGCTGGACCCAGGCTGGAGTATGCCCAAAGCATATGAAGTCCTTAGGAGGTATATCAAGGACATTGAAGCACTTGAAAAAGTCCAACACACTAGAGTAACAAAACAACTTCTGGCTCTTCGTGATCTTCTATACCAACAAAGGCTGCAGAGACTGAACCTTCCAACAAGTTATGAGAGATGAACGCGTGAGGATCTTATGGAGACATTCAAAATAATTAGGGGACATTACAAGTGCCAGTTAAGTGTTGAGTTCAGTAACAGCCAGCATCTAATAGGTCATAACAAGAAACTCTGTAAGAAGAGATGTGTCAGGCTTTTGCGTAGAAATTTTTTGTCCAATCGAGTAGTTTATAATTGGAATCGACTTAGTTGGGACACTGTAAATGCATTTACAGTCAAGCTATTTAAAAACAGACTGGACAGTGAAATGACTAAATGGACAATATACCAATTAATATGTATAAATAGACATTTTAACAGTGCTGGGAAAGTAACCGACTGAATACAATAGTCTAATATGTTTATTTTTACCGCTAATTGTTAATTAACTAATAATAATAATAATAATTTACTTACTTAAAATTGAGGCTAAATTTAAGGCTTGTCCAAAAATGCAACTTTCAGGAGGATATGTGCCAGTGTCACTGATATAAGGCAACATATATGTTACATGTTCATATTTTACGTAGGATAAATAGAAGCTTGAAAAATTAATTAAACAATTAGACGTTCATTAAAAATATAGCTATGTACTTACGTTATAATAGTAGTGCCAAAGACCAAACCAACTAAAGCAAACGGTAAATATTGAACACGAAAACTCATATTTTAAATGTTATAAGGAGTAATAACTGCAACAAGTACACCAACTAAAAAACTAAACTTGTGAAGGTACCATCATATAAGATTCATCGTAATAATTTAATGACTCTCATCATTAACTGATACTTGATTGGCTTTTTTATCGTAGAATTCGACAACCTGTAATTTTTCCGTTACTGCATTGTATGGTATTTGGTAACGATCGAACATATTATATTGAACTTTCATCTTCAAAAATAATGGTATGAAATTTGAAACTTGTTCCTTTACAGTTTTGCTACCTTGGAATTTTTTTTTTTCCAAATAAGTAGCTATAATGAATTATAGTTTTTATTTTTAGACTATGTATAAAATAGGAAGTAGGTAATTATTGATATTATTTAAAATCAAAAGTCCAATGAGATGGTTTTTACATAGGTACCTGTACCTACCTATAATGTTTAATTAGATATCATTTCAAATTGAGTTTACCTTTTAAAAATATTAGCCTCATTTCGTAAAAATACAACATTACCCAAATTCATAACAAAACGCATCTCTGGATTCTAAATCCTTCTCTCGTTTCAAATCTATCAGCATAGATTCTTAGAAAATGTATTTTTATTTTAGGTGAAAGACCAAGATCATGTAACTGAAATGCTAAAGCTGTGCTTACAAAAAATCTGCGAACTTCAAGCCGAAATGGAGCGAGAAGCTGAAACTATTCACGATCCCGAAGCTGAAGGGTACGCTGCTTGTGCAACGGAAACACTGAGGTAACAAAGCATATTTATCCATGACTATTTATTATTACTTGATAGCAGCAGTACGATTCTTTTTTTTCTTTAAATCACACCTTTGTTATTATAAACCTAAACCAAGAATCTTCCATTTTGGTCTGCTATCATACTTTGCTACCACACCAAGTCATTATCAAAGATGTTGACAGATTTTTTTGTTTGCAATTCTGTCTAATTGTGTTTTTCATGTTTCGGCCTCCACTTCTCCACCCTCTTAGTTCACTTGTGAATTAATTAATTATTTTTTTAAATCAATAACATCGTTAGCCGCTTAAAGATAATTAATGAGCACGTGCAACCCAAAAGTCTTCTGACGAAAGACGAGATGAGAAGTCAATAAACCTATTGAAGCCAGCTGCATATAGATGAGATTGATCGGAAACAAACAATTTAGAGTATACGATCCAGAAAAGACGAAAAAGAAATTGATTCACAACATAATCACAAATGCTTTTAACATAAATGACTATTTTGTACAATCATGTTTCAGGTTTCTATCCTCGCAAGGCCTTCCACCGGATCATCCAATGGTAAAAATGCTTTCTGAAAGACTACTACGCGACAGGGACGATAATTGACTAATGACTACCCAAAATCTTTCAAGTCAATTCTAGTCATTATAGTATAAAGGATTGAAGATATTTAGCACTAAGCAATAAGTGCCTTGAGATGTAGTATCTGTAGCATGTAGATAAGGTTTCTTGAATATTCTGCGTGAGTTTTCTTCAAAAAAATATTTGATTAACCTAATATGTAGATACTTAATAATAATTTATTATACTTGAGTAATTTAAGTAACTGTAATTGAGTCAATAATTAAGTTATTATTTTTTTTAAGTTAGATTTAGATATTGAAGATTCTAGTCAAAAATGTTTCTAGTCATTTTATACTTTTATAATAAACCAAATATAATTTATAAAATTGTTTAATTTCAGTTTTGTAAGGGTTCTAAAAGGATATTGTAATAAACGTAACTAAAAGTGCCCATTGAAACACTATTATAATTTATTTTTAATTTTTATAAGTACGTTTTTAACAGAATATAGTCAAAATTTTAGAACTAACTACAGTAACGGGGTTTTATAATACTACATTTTTCTCTTTTGTTTATCTACAATACAATTTCTGTATTTTTGTTATTTTTGATTCTTGTATTATCTCGAATTACTAGAAGGTAGAGGTATACATACTTTATGAAAGATATTTATTTTATCAATAAATATTTTGTAAGTTATTTTTTAATTTGAAAAATATGCATAGGTATATCAGCAAAAATATAACAAATGCACATTTTCAAAATCTTATACATATATAGGTAGTTAATTGACAATAAAAAATTTCTGAAAAGAAATGAATTAAATTAAAATGTAAAGATTATAAAATAAAAATTGCTATAATTATACTTTCAATCTATATAAATGAATTTGTTTAAATATTTCTAATACATATCAAGGAATGACCATAATAAGATTATTCCTCGATATTTCCAGCCTGTCTAGAAATATTTAAACAATATCTGGTACAAGTTGTTTGTTTATTTTATCTATTAAATATTTCAAGGAAGGGACATGAAAAAATAAATTTAACTGTTATAGGTAGGTAGGTATAGAAATTCATTATATTTTTTTTTTCTAAAAGTATTGAATAGTTGAAGAGAAAGAAGATCATTTGGTTTGTTTGGTGTAGTCCAATGTAAACCTGCAACAAAAAAAAAAAAATTAAAATTTGAGTTCAGAATCACATTTATATAAAACATTTCTAATTTGTCTCAAGGCTATTACCATCTGGCTCCTACATATTATCAAAGTCTATATTATGATATCATTAACTTATCATAGATCAGTTATATTAGCCCGAATAGTATACAGGGCTAAAAGAGTCAACTCCTAAAGGCGTTTTTTTAAATTTTTATTTTGGCACACGTAAAAATTGGCATTTTTGGTGACTTAGAGACTAGAAGATGATTCGGAATCCATAAAAACAATATACCTACAAAGTTATCATGATGGCAACTGAACTGATCTTTCAAACTTTTATACAGAGTAGCAACTCGAAAAATGTCTCTAGACCAAGACAAAAAATATTTTGAAGAAAATCGAAAAAAAAAAAACATTGCAGGAACTTTTAGGCTCACGTCTATTATAAGTATTACGAAACCACCCTATGTTTAATATATTATTATTATTTCACAATAGAAGGCGGCAAAGTCGATGAGTCTATTGATTGGTTTTTATATCAATTCACAATTTTAAGTCCATAATTAATTGTGACATCCATTGTATCTCAGATATGGTATTATTTTATCACTAGGGGATAGTGGACAAACTGGTTTTTGTTTCACTTATATCTCTGTCTACCGGATTTTTGGAGGAGTTAAGACTAGTGGCATTTACTGTGTCTTGACTTTAGGTTATTTCACGAATACACAACCCTGTTTGTTAAGAAATTGCGTCTTAACAATTTGGAACATTTTTCCTTGTTTAATTTATTTTTTCTCCGAATGACAGTAACAGCGGCCTTTCAATGACACTTGACAGAATCAAAATTTGTATTTTTACTGCCTAGGCAGTAAAAGTGGACTTTTACTCCCTATAGGCATTAAAAGTGACAGTGTCACAACGTTCTAGGTAATAATTCCACTCAATTTCGTTTCTGAAATTAGGCTCTCCAAACCACGTGATTTTTCAATATGGCGACCGTGGAAAATTTGACGTTTGTTTGTTTATCTTGAGTTTATTTGGAATATTTTCAAGCTAATTACAGTTTACTTTGTTATAATATACTTTTTGAGATGCAGAGTGAATATTTAGACACTTGAATGCAGGAAAATCGGGATCTGGGCGAACGGTTAGTTTAAAAAAATGCCCAGATGACATTTTGATCCACAGTTCACATTAATAAGCAAATGAAGGCCTACAAAAGCTTAGATTCTTACGAATATTTCGGAAATGGCTTTATTTCAGATGCAGGAACAGTGGTAGTGAAAAATTTTCACGTTTTAATTGGAAAATTTTAAAACAAAGGGCAATGAAAAAAGCCTGACATCATCCTTGTTACCTTGTTGAAACTACTTCCACAATCAACTTCAAGATCCGTTTGTGGCATTTTTAATCGGAAGAAACACTATTGAAGTCAATAAAATAGAAAAATTAACAGAGTTCATTCACAAAGCAAGCACAAAATGCACTTTAAAAAGCTTTAAATTACATACTCTCATATACGGGATAATGAACTTCTGCCACAACGCACTTTTTGACAGGTCGTTGGAATGCCTAATAGACCTGTCTCGCATAAATAGAGAAAGAGAGCTTAATTGTAATAAATACAAGTTAGAAAGTAATAAAAGATGACATGCGCGCGCAACTCGTAGGTTCAGTGTAGCCAGATTGTATTGTTGCAGAACAAATAAAGACAATACAAATCGAACATTATATAGGCAATTCAATCCATCTGTCAAAAAGGAAAATTCAATGTGGCGTGGCGGCCAAGCAAGTTTGTTTTGAATATGTTTTTATGCGTATTTTAAATTATTTTGCATACAGTTTTGCTTACAACTTTGATTTTCATTATTTAATAAAATATTTGTTGACTAGGTACCTAAACTATTAATGAGGGCAGAAACTAGATATTTTTTTGTGTTTTCTGGCCCATGTGTGGCCGCCACGCCATCTTGAATGTCACGTGGTTTGAATTGCCTAATAACATTAAAGAAGTGATATAGTGTCAAGTGTTTTACAACGCCTTGAATCAGACAAAAGAAGCGCTTGAAAAGTTTATGTTAACATCGTTTACACTTTTATTTTGATAAATGTTTCATCCGGCAACATCGCACAATGAATAAATGGCAGCAAATATCCAGTTAAGTTCCGCAAAATTTTGTAGAGGGCGCGAGTGAACTTGGAGTGTTTTAAATTTTGGCGGTAAATGTCAATAGTTTAAAACTGATTAAACATTGGATTAAACTGAGTAGAGAGAAAGATGACTACATATGAACAATGGACAATGGATAAGTTAAAATATCTTCTTAAGCGTTCAGTGGCCCTTAGAGAATATTTTTAAAAGTGTCAGCGTCAGCTTGTCTTGAAACCACACATCAAACTTCAGTTTTGAGGTTAGAATTACAATCGAATTTTTACACGCCAAAATTTAAAGAGATCCAAGTACAGAAGCGCCCTCTTCAACTCAACTGTCAATATTACATGCCATTGCAAAGGAATATGTCAAGTATAATCTGACAAAACCTAAACGACACTGCGGTGAGTTCAAGTAATATGTAAAGTATTAGTTTGCTCTTTGTCGAATTACACGTTACAAAGAAAGAAGGAACGATTCACTTTGAACTGGCCCCTGGATAAGAATATTATGACGCAAACCTGTACCAAACTTGTTTCTCATTGGACGCTCACCTGCAGCCTACAAGCGACGCGCGCAGTCCAGGTAATAGGAGATCGGTCTATTGATGGTGACAATGACAATTGACGTTTTCAATTAAAAGAGATGGACAATATAAGTATGAAAATATTCAGATTTTCGCCAGCATTTGCTAGCTTGTCAATGTCAAGTGTATTGGGTGTTCAGCAGTCCTCTAGTCGGAGTCGATAGGTTACGACTAGAGATTAAGAATCTGGGCCTTTTGGTTTTTATTCTAATCGGTGCCTCCACTGATGAGTTAGGTATCTTTGTTTAGTGAATGGACAATGACAATGACCGACATAGAATGGTGAAATTTGAAAGAAAAAGAAAATATGGGAAGCAAACAGCTTCCGCAAACTAAACTTGAACGTGGATTTTTTTGTATACTTGATAGGCCGTGGATTTCCTTTTCTTTTGCGAGTATTTCCAGTCTGATTTTGTATATTCAAATTCTGACAAATGTGGAATTTGATAAAAACTTATAAAAAGACACGTCCGCCGGTGAATGGGAATTATTTTCACGAAGAGACACACTACAAACAATCACCATTGTTAGGTAAAAACCTTGAAAAAACCGAGGAAATAATAGTTTCCAATCTCCACACGCATGAAAGTCTTGTCAACAAACCACTGTCAACGGCTGTCAAACATTGTTTTCATACTCTTTTGGCATCTGACAGTCTGACGCCAGAGAGAGAGGTTTCTAAATTGAAAAGGTCAATTGTCAAAATAATTTAATTATTTGGATAATAAAGCCGGCTACCGACAGGCCTGTCAGTTCGAACTGAACAGTCCGACAGAAGGCCGGGCGCCTGAGCGTGTATATATTCCGGACGATCTGTCAGTGCTCAGGTGGCCGGAGAAAAATCAAAAATATGTTCGTTCACCCGGCCGGCCTCACGTACCCAAAGGCAAGTCTGAACGAGTGTATGGCACTGTCCGCCTGTCGGGCCGTTGGGCTATCATTTCGCATAGTTTCAGTAGTGAGTAGTGAGCTTACGCCATGTCACGCGGAATAGAAAACAGGTGTTTGGTGGAATTTATCGCTATTTATCATGGCGAGTCGTGCCTGCGGCAAGCCAAATTGAAAAACTTCCACGACCATGGCAAGAAACTGGTAGAAAAATGGAAGGACTCTACTGTTCTCACAAATATGTATACTAGTACTAACCAAAAAGTGCCTATAACGCGTCGTCGTCAGTAGAGGCCGTGATGATTGAGACTGAATAATCATACGCCTGAACATTTGTAGGGTCATCAGTCTATCCGGCAACCGGCCTTCAGGCGAACTGTTCAGTTGAAACTGACAGGCCTGCCGGACCGTCTGTAGCCGGCTTATAAATAATGAATGAAATGAATATAAAAAAGATGTCCATGTGTGTATTTGAACATTCGGAGAAAAAATTATATGTTTTACATGGCAGAAAAGCAGATTTAATGCCTCGGCTGGTTTCATTAGCGAGGTGAAATGAAGGTACCCACTGGACCCTGTTTCTCCTCCAAAAGCTTCCTCTTTTTCTGCTTTTTCTTTAACCTGTAATCATCCACCTCTGCGGCTAGTTTGAGGTCATTCATATTATTTATGGCCTGCCTCGTAATCTGAATCCAGCATATTGTCTCCACTTCTTCATTAACTAGTTCTGAGTTTATTCTGTGGTCTTTCTGTCTTGCAAAGAGTACCTACTCCACAACTCTATTTTAGAGTGGTGACTTTTGATGCTATGTCGTTCAACCTGTTTCTTGCTATCTCCAAGTGTTTTTTTTTTCGTACATCCTTATATTCAGCACCAGCTGGGGTACTCGGCTTCGCTCAGGGAGTTGTGAACTTGTGAAACCAGATTTGGTATAGAGTCTCAGTTAATGATGGCAAATGTTTATTAACTAAATGAATCAAGTGTTAACTTACATAAAATTTCTATTTAAATTCCTAACACAACCTTTACTGACTATACTCATTCTGTTGGGTCAGTAACAACATCAGCTGATTGATATCCAAATCGTCACTCAATCTGGCCAAATTTGAGTCTGGATAATACTCGTTGGGTATTGTGATGTCTGACGATTTTTTACCCCTAAAAAAATTTAATCTAGAGTAATTTTTTTATTAATTAGATGCTTCGATTCTTACCTGACACCGACGAATTTTCCTCTAAACTCGTAGGGAAATTTCTTACCGCGCATTCCAAAGAAACCCGACGGTTGCTTTTTGCCTCTCATCCCGAAGAATCCTGACGGAGCTCGTTTGGTATCTTCAAAGTAGCCCTGCGAGTTTTCGAAGTCTTTTTTGCCTCTCATTCCAACAAATCCCATGGAAGCGCGTTTGTCGCCCTGATATACAGGTTGGATTAAGTATTTCTTACCGCGCATCCCGAAGAATCCCATCTGTGCACGTTTTGAGGGCTCATCTAAAAATAAATTGCTGATCAGATTATTTTCTGGAAAACTAGGTATTAGGTTCCACCATTGTAAAATTCGTTGCAAAAGGTGCATCGAGGGCAATGCATAAGATCGAGGCCAAATAGATGCAGAGACGAAACAGAAATTATAATTAATCCAGCACCTGACTGTAGTCCTGTAGGAAAGTTTGCGTAGGGAGTATTTTTTTTTCGGGAATGTCTAGTAGGTGTATTATTAAGTATTTTGAGCTTGGGTGGACTTCCAGCACCTGGTACATTTTCCAACCATGACGTCTTCAAAGATGGCGGCCGTGCTAACACAAATCAGCTCCCATATGTTATTAGTTATTATACCTCATCGATTTGTATGAAATTTTTTATCACCGACGGTACTACGGAAGGAGGAGTAATTACCTTCCTTTATTCCCCTCACCACTTCTTTCCTCAAAACCGGGACAAATGAATAAATAAACATCAATTTTGTTAATTTTTTTATTGTTATTGAATAACTGCACTAATGAGTGCGTAAACATGTTCAGACTATCTAAAAAGGATTGTTACAGGTTGAACCTATCTTCTTACTACCACACTTGCAGAAGGAGCAACAGGCCACTTCACTTCTCCTATAAATACAGGAGGATTTGGCACATTTTAAACAATTACATGCCCCAACAAAATCAGTAGGGTATTTTTGTAAGTTTTTTTCTGGCACCACTTAATTTTCTGTTACGGCAAAACCAAATTGACATGGGTCTAAGGCAACAAACACATCATCAATACAGTGTTATTGGAGATATGTGCAGAAAAACGATCTTAACAAAAGTAGGCGGCAAATCTTGAATATCTATATTCTTCGCATGATGGTACATATATTTACAATCTAAGTTCATCTAAAGATTTACAAGATGACCCTTTCCGTAGTAACTGCCCCAAGTATGTTTCTCTAGATATAAAGCTTTGTTCTATGTGAGCCCAATCAGATGATACGTCAAAGTGTTCCAGATACCTATGCCGGAGATGCACTATGAAGGGCTGCTTTTTTGATTCCAAACTTACTCGTATATTCTGACCCAGATAGTGCGTAGATGGCTGGAAGCAAGGAGCATAGATTTTGGCCTATTTTTTGATGAATATCATGAACAAATAAAGGTCGTGTAGAATCACCAACTCCAGTGCGCACCCAAAATTCCTGAACACCACGTTGATGAAGAGTAGCCCAGTGAAACAAAGCTAACACCATTATGTAAGTGTCGGCATCAAACGATTTAGGTAAATCTACATAAGGATGCATGTTTTGAATGAATCAGCATTCTAAAGTTTGCCTCCTCTACTGACAAACAGTTCAATTGTGGGAGGTTTGCTTTCACTCCACTTTGCACAGATGTACTTCATCTTCTTCATCACCATAAAAGGCACTAAAGATGTGGTTGGTACAACTTGGTGTTCCAGTCAAAGAAGCTTTTAAGGTATTAGCAATAAACAAACATATGCAAGTTCAGTTATTGTTCTCTGATGATCCCCAAAAACTGCTGAGTTGGATAGGTAATGGAACATCTTCGGATATGTGGGCAATATCTATAACAATGCGGGTAACTTGTCTCCGCACTCTCTCAGGCCTTTTTGGTGATAGTGTGTGATAACTATCCCCTTATGTTTGAGGAAAAAGCAGAAACCGCTCGCCGAAAGTAACACGTCCTGTCATCAAATATGAATAAGTTGTCGCTGCCAGTGCTCACATACGATGTTTCTAGAGCAGTTTAACTAATGCACTTTTTTGTGGTTCTGTCATTAACCCTTGTTTATCAAACAATGAGCAGTTATCAGAAGATTATACCGGAAAAGCTGTTGCATATCATACACACGAGCTTGATATATTTGTATCATGCGGTGAAATGAACTAGACGTCTTTTTGATAACTTTACCGGAAGCCTTTGCACTTGGTGTTTTAGTGCTATCAAATGCTAGTGGCATGACTTTGTGCATGGTGCATGGTAGTTGAGATCCTGATTGTTTCGTCTTCGTATTGTGTTTTGCGCAGTGCGCAATAGAATTTGTCACCGATTTCAAATATTTTCAAAAATTTTTCCTTTGTATCTTGTGAAACCAGTGCTTTTGTTGCCTAATTTTGTAATGGATTAGACAGCATATCGAATGGGTTACCTTTTTCTGCAAACATTGGAGGTCATCACATAATTCTTCCCATGAAGCTTCGATAGTTCAGACCAATCAGACCCTTCGTTAGGTGAGTAAATTAAACGCGCAGTGGATTACCTAATATCTAATTTATTCGCACATAAATGAGCTGATAACAATAGAGAACGAAAGTATAATTATAAACTAAAAGGTAGAACGTAAAAAAAAAACAAAAGTACCCAAGTACACCAAACGGTTTAAACTTGAAAAGATGTTTTTTAACGCGAACGCGTACAAAATGGAAGAAAAAAAAGGAAAATGGATTCTTCTCCCTTTCTAAAAAGCGTCAAACGACAAAAACTTTAGGTTCGGTACTACATACTACTGCCTATTGCCCACGAGGGCGCTCGAGCAAGGAATTTAATTTTCCCTTGAAAACACGGAATTGATGTGCAAGGTTGCATGATGCAACTTTAATAAAGAAGCCCCCTTTCTTCAGGAAAACAAGCTGAAACATCTTTCAAGGTTTATCGTATAGGTAGTTAACAAAATATGGATTTATAGCAAGCCCAAAACAATATTATTAAATCAAATTTTAGTGGTAGAGAGCTATAAAATAAATGGCTTAAACGAAAATATAAAAATGAAATAAGTTCTTGGAATTCAAACACCAACTCTACCACATTTACTCCGAACACTGAGCATTCAATAGGGACATTGGAGATTCCACTTCCACGAAGATATTTACCTGCGCAACCTAGTACAATTTTAGCCATATGGAACGCTGCCAACAACAGTACAATATTTGAACACTTATCTGGATTGTTTGGTTGAACTTCGCACTTCGCGCGCAATAGCGTAATACACCTTCGTCACAGGCCACTGATAGGTAGTTTTGGTCCAGTCCAATAAAGCCGTGTAGACAGTCACATGCTGAGTATCTGGGTTTGGAATGACTGGTAAAAAACCAACTTGTTTCTGCTGTAGATCTTCTTTCGACAAAGTGCAATGGAAGCACTCCACGATGGCACAAGCTGTTCTAGGTCTTCTTCTAGAATGGGAAGGGCGTAATTTGGTAGGAACATCAAAACTGTGTAACAAAGTTCGTGCAATTCTTGAAAAAATGCCATAACATGTCTAAATTTTCGTATTTCTTCTTTTCATCCTCGTCCATTGCAAATAAATCTGAGTCAACTATTGTACCTTTTGGCACGGAAGAAGCTCTTGAATTGTCTTCAAACCTCGTGTGACAGTAATCTTCGATGAGCGTGGTTCACCTGGTATCCAGTGGTTTGTCTTGAAAGAGTGCACGCACACAGTGTCCTGAGAGCCTCCTATTCCAGATAAGGTAGATTCTTCATGGTCAAAGTTATCGAAGGCTCCAATCGTAAATGAATCAGTCCTGAAATGACTGGGAATCGACACTTCATGAGGAGCCTGATGCTTAAGAGAATATTGTGTAAGGTCATGATGGTAACTGATCACTTCGTTGTAGTTGACACTTACACCTACATGATTCAAGCTTGTTTTTAATGTTTTGCTTCTACATTTTTCATGTACTGCTTCTCCTATTATCATATGCAACACTGGTTATTTTATTTCCTCGATACATGTTGTAGTACATTATTTGTAATAACGATTGTGCCTTAAGACGCCACTTCTGTGAATTCTTCGTATTGTTCAAATGTTCATCTGCTTCTATTTCATTGATGTCTTCCTCCTCCATGAAGTTTGTATCTATATCAAATAATGTACTGAAAAATTGTATGAAAACATGAGGTATTTCACTTTTACTCCAAGAGTTAAGAAGATATGGAGCATCACCAAATTTATCGATGAGGCCAAAGTCTAGCTTCTGCAGTGATTCTTTCAACAAAAAGGCACATTCTGTTACGGTAGTGAAACTTCTCACATTATCTGCTACGTCTTCCGTTCTGAGTGCTGCTGAAAAAAACATGAGTGGTTTGTTTGCCTGTTTAGGTTTTGCAAACGTTATTTCATTTCCAAAGTAATCACAAGATTAATTTCAGTTCCTTGTTACTGACTCTCATCATGGCTTCATTTTCTCAAATGTAACTGGAGAGTGTATCCGTAACCTTCATCTAGTCCAGCTTAAATATCATTAGCTATACGAGAAAATGCTGCCACCCTTGAGTTGAGGTGTGCTCTTATTACCCTCCTCAAGTTTCCGTTCACACCTCGGTAAATACCTAGAAATACAATTGTCATGACTTAAATCTCGGCACCAAAAACCCTTCCCCTTGACTCAACTTCCAAATCACAAGTGTGAGTAAAAACATCACTTCTGAAGTATAACGTTGCCTTTAAAATCTCCTTAGCTCTTGGGGACTCACTGATTTTATACTTGTCGTAAATGCGCTTATGTGACTTCTGGTTTCATATAATACATGAACGATCTCGACTCGAAGTACCGGTTCGTCGAGACTGTGGTGACGAGCGCGTTTTCTTCCAGAGTTTTCAGCACTTTCCGGTGCAGTCGATTGGGAAATGATGTCGTTAGCTTCATTTTCTAACAGGTCCTTTTCTCTTTGATACTTCATAAGGGATTTTTTATGACAGTATTGTTTGTAGTACTCATTATTCATATGGTAGTAAAATACTGCTTCCACACCTAATGAGCTCAATCACTACAGATTATGCATATTTTGTCACTTGCTTCAAAGTCTATTGATCTATCTTTTCTTGTCAGTTGTATGCCATCCATATTATCTGCCCCAGTTATCACACTATATTGGCACAATATTGATTCTATATTGGTGAAATATTGCATAAGGGCCCAATATTGGCAATTTCTAGCCAATATTGGTAATATATAGGAGATGTACCCTTTTTCTATATTGTAATATAAGGTTTATCCAATATTGATCCGATCCAACATTGATAAATCATATTTGGAAATAAGTTTTATTTATATTTATATGCAATATTTATCCAATATTAGTAATATAAAGTAGATGTAGTTGAGAGCATTGTTTTTTTTTTACAAAGTTATAGGTATTAGGTTAGATTAGGTAGGTTCCTGTTTTAAGAGTATCTTACTTATGTACATATAGAGTTGCATAAGTATTAGAAATGTAAACAATACTGGCAGATTTGTTTAAAATTCCCCTCTTATGTCAAATATGCGACAAGAGATGTCCATCTCTGTAAGTATTTATACATACCTACATGTAATCTTAAATTCAATTTATTATTTCTTAAACTCAAATGATTGTTTTGAAATTCATATGGTGTTCCTAAAATACAATTATTGCTTCAATCAAAAATACATATGGCTTTTCTAAAATACACTTGAAATTATCGGTATTACAATTCTTACTTTTGAATCCTCTGAGTTTTGAATATTTCGCAAATACATTTGAAAAATCTAAAATACACATAATGGATCTTTCTGAAATACCAATGTTTATTCTAAAATACAAATGACACTTTCTTAAATCCAAGTGATAATGTCCTAAATACTGTTGGAAATGGTGTAGTGTGTTTTTATCTATTCTCTTTTAATCAACGTGGTTTTTCATTGATGAAGTGTGCACGGTCTTTTGTGCCTGTTGAGTGTTGTCTTCCGATTGGTCGATGGTTACTACGCAGTTAAGTATAAAAAAAAAATGATTGGTTTCCTACAGGGTTTTGGTTCTAAAACGATCACTTTCCTGGTAGAACCACTAAAAAAGCGAGTTTTTGTAATTTTTTCTTCAGATTTCTAGATTTTTCCTTATTAATTTTTCAATTTATTTTACCATCAGTGTTGAGTTTTTACCTGATTATTTCATTCATTATAAAATAGACCCATCAGCCAACGTCATCTTTTGAATGAATTTTGTTTAAAGTGATTATTGCACAAGAGCTTGATTATTCGCGATCAATGAACTAAAGTCAAAAACTGGAATGCGCACACGTCATATCTGCCAAAAAAATGTAGCCATGAAAGACAGATGCCACAAAGGGGAATGGTTGGGGAATGGTGCTTTTTTCTGTTGCTCGCTGACATATGACGTTTTGGAAAGTTTTGTCATATTTACCTTCACAGGTTTCATCAATTGGAATATGCGTTGGAAGCAATTTCCGCCATTTAACACAATGAGTGCGACAAAAACAGGTATCCCCTCCGCAGCAGCGGCACTAGGCTTCACGTTCGTCAATATGTGTTCGCATTCCAGTGTTTGGTTATAGTTCATTGTTCGCGATTAAATTTTTGTTTACCTTTTTTCACAGAATATTGATAGAAATATTCTGACATTTTATAATGGATAGGATTGACGCCAACAATTCAATCCTAATTATTCAGGAAATAATCTAGCCGTATACCACTCGACCTATAAATTTAAATGGAAACTCTTTACTGAATCCAGGCAGAGGCCGGTATAACCATTGTCTGTTTGACTCCTTCAATTATCTTCTCGAGTAGGAAGAGCATTAGAAGGCTGAAATTTTAAAATAGAAATCCGGATAGGTCAAAAATTCATTTAATTTATTTCATCTTCAGCTTTATCTTGTAGTACCTATAGTAGGTTCCTTAACTTAAAATGGGAAATTCATCTATTTGGGGAAAATCTAGAAATTTTTTTTCATCTTGTTCAATTTTTTCTACATTCTTTTTATTTAAATTTGCCTGTTTAGTACGACTGCTAGAAAAGCAGCATTCTGCGCTCAATTATAACGAGCATCTATTTTAATTTATTCTTGCGGTATTTACCTATTTTTTTTTTTTTTTTTAAGAAAACCCATTCCAATTTGCAATAGTTCCTCATACCTGGTTCTGTTGGAAACGAGTGTCTGCACAACAATGGTTTTATAATAAACTAATTTTAATTCTTCTTTTCAAGACACTCGCTTTTTGACAGAATTCAGGGATTTGATATTTCAAATCTTGGTGAACCTGATATTGCCTTATTCTTTTCTGGGTACCTACTCGACATAAAAGAAGATCACAATTTGGAGTCTGGATCAGCTGGAGTGACGTCACACCAGCAATCTAGGTATCCTCTTTCCTGGATACAGGAAACAACACGAAGAGCTCCAGTTTACGGAAGTGAAACCCTAATATCCATTGAAGAGCTCCGGATTGGAAAAGGTACATACAGTATCAGTGTGTCACTAGAACAACCAGACTGCGAACTGTCAAATTTTCGAAAGCAACTTGTTACTTGCATTGTTACTTACATTTGCAAATATTTAAATTGTGAAAGTAAAGATATTGTTCGTTGGAATTTGAGTGGTTTCATTTGCACATAAAAAGGGCTACACGTTATCTTTGTTGACGCCATATTTGGGAAACGTACCAGGTGATGGATGTCCACCCAAACTCAAAACACTTACTAACACACATATTAATCATTCCCGAAAAAAAAAACTCCCTACGCAAACTTTACTACAGGACTGCAGTCAGGTCCAAGACTAAATTGGAAGTCTGAAATACTTTAAAAACCAACCATTTACAACAGACGTTGAAGGATCCAATACAGAATAATTCTGAGAAGCTGAAAGATCAAAAATAGAAATACTTCTAGAAAATGGAAGATAAAATGCTGAAAGTCGCTCATAAATTGGATGACTAATATCTTAAAGATGGACAAAAACAGAAAAAAATCTTAGTAAGAATATAATCTAATCTAAGAAAAATAGAAAGAGTTGTGGGAGGTATTTCAAAAATTGGAGACACAAAATTGAAGGATCTATCAGAAGAAATCTAGAAATCTAGAAAATAGAAGATATTAATATTTTTCAGATATTGAAAAATAGGAAACAAAAATATACTGAGATGATGGCAGATCAAATACAGAATACTTTGAGAAAATGGATGAACAAATCAAAATTAATTTAGGGATATTTTTGAGGCTTGTGAAGGTTGAAGAACACAAAGATGTTGATGAAATAGAAGATCGAAGACGAAAAGATGCTGCCGATGCTGGGTAAAAGAAACAGTACCATCTGAGTAATTGAAAAACAAAAACATTTCAAAATTCGTACAGCATCTATAAATGGCTTTAATAATACGTCAAATTCAAAAAACTATTTTTATGAAATCATAATAAATCCGCAGCTATCTAAATTAACACTTCTTTCATTAAAAGACATTGGGTATATTGGCTTTGCTTTTCTCGACTAAAATATTTCTCCGAATTCCAAGGAGCATTCCACTCAATTCGAGAAAATTAATTTTCTTCTACTAGATCCAGGCTGATAATTGGCTAATTGAAGTGGCTCGCCGACGCGGGAATTAACGAGATGGGGTGCTGTTCAATTTATTTACATTTACACTTTTAAGTATAACTCAATTAGGTGATGGCTCGGCGAGGCTGCATTTGAAATTGGAACGAGCTTTAAAATTGAAAAACGGTCTTAAGGCAATTGTTAGGCTCTTACCGTAATAGGAATAATCGTTTTCGTCCAAAGTTTCTTTTTTGCCTCTCATTCCTACAAAACCCATCGGAGCTCGCTTATACATTTCTTCCGGATAGTTGTACCAATAATAAGGTGAATTTAGCGGCTTCTTTCCTCTCATTCCGAAGAACCCTGATGGTGCTCGCTTTTCAATTACGTAGGATGATGGAGGTTCTGTTTCTGTAGAAGGAACAAAATCTGTTTGCTGAAAAATAGAAATACCATTATAGAGAGTTAGGAATAAAGCGGGAGTTTTAATTAAAGCTAGTAATTAAAAAACAATTCAATCCAATTTTTTATTGTATGACGACCCGTGGATCTTAGAGACCTGGAAAAGTGTGAGGAGTATAAAGACTTGGGAAGCTTGATATCAGCAGAGGGAACATGAGACTGAGATATAAATAACAGAGAAAGTAGCACAAGGTAAAAAATGCGTTAACATTTTGAATTCTTTACTCTGGAGTAGTCAGCTTTCTATAAAAACAAAAAAGACAAACTACGGAAAAATTGTAGAGCCAATTATTGACGCACGGAGCTGAATGCTGGCATTTATCGGAACGAAATAAAAAGGCATGTCGTACAACTGTCCGAAGTTCAATAATTTTATTTCGTAGGAACAGGCGCTTCAACCAGAAATATATCTTGGAAGCAGCGAAGAAATAATACAGAAATGATTTCATTACTTGCTAACTTGCTTGAGGATCTTTTTGCTTATGACTGTATAGGTATCAAAAAACATGATATAGCCAATCCAATACATATCAGAGCGAAACATAAAGAGCAAAATTCGAATTGATCCAGACAATGCAAAATGTTCGGGGAAAGCACGTAGGTGAATTAATTATTCTATTTAATCAACTTTGTTTTTAAAAACTTTATTAACAAAGAATGACAAAAGAAATACCTACTGTGTCTGGTCTAATTAATCGCTACTGTGGGAAGCTTGAAAACGAAAGAACAATAGACATTGGTTGCTCTTCCTTAAATATAGAATATTATGCAAGCTTAGCAAAACACTTGTTTACAATGCCCAAAATTGCTATGTTGGGGCTATATGCGTTTATTTGTACAATAATAATGGAAATATTTGTATTAAATCTAATTAGGAAACTTATACAAAACTCCCATCCTGTACAAACGGAGAATAACGTCAGGGAATATGCCTTTATAGAACATGGGACAATTTTTTTTCCCCCGATCTTTTGCAAATACATTTTACCCATGTCGAAAGATTGCTGACTTTTTCTAGTATATGACACCCCACTTGTAGGTACTTAGGTTTTTGATTCTGTATTAAATTTAGAAATTCTTGTGCAGATGAATACTACTCAAAAATATTTAATTTTAGGTATTACAAAAGGGGTGGTGACATTTAAATTTTTCCGGTCGGGGTGCATGGGACCCACAGGGCCGCCCGCAACTAGGGGGTGGCAAACTAGGCGCCTGCCTAGGGCGCCGGAGTATGATCAAGGCGCCTAATTAAATCCATCCATATTTTACAAACCAAAAAAATGCAACGGTTTTACGCGTCATTTGTCGTAGCATGGAAATTTATTTTGCTTGTGTTACATCTCTCTTTGTCAACCATCAACAATACGAATATCGATAGTAATCCAATGAACTAAAGTCTGTTTTTTTTTTAAAGATAAAGATAAAAGTCAAAATGACATTATGTTGGCAATACAATGTAAAATTGTCAATGCTTTCAAATTTTTTATGTATGTACAAAAGGCTTGTGTTGCCAACATAGTTACTAAATTTTTGACTTGGGGAATTATCTTTAAAAAAAAACAGACTTTAGTAATCATATAAATTATGTCAAACACAATGTGCGTGCAAAAGGCAGCAGCAAAGTGCAATGTCTATGATAAATTCAAGTATTAATGACGTAGCGCCTAACATTCGTTAGCCAAAGATTAGCTTCGAGTCGAGCTTTGATTCGACCAAACTGAGCAAGAGCACTGTGGGCGACGTGGACGCCCTCTGCATGCTGCATTAACTCGATCAGCAGCTGAATTTTTCCTATCTTTCCTTAATGAATACGATTGAAAAAAGACAAAACACGTCTGCTGGCGATCGGGTTAACCTGATCATAGTTTCCGTAAACAGATTTTACTTTTACAATAGTTTCGTTCGCAGTAAGGATTCTGAACTGGTTCAAAACTATTTCGCATGCGCAGTTCAAGTAATGGCGTTCGCGGATCACAAAATTTAGAACTTTTAGTTACGGTTCTGGATCAACCAGAATCGATTCGGAACCGTTTCTGAACCAGTTCTAGCGGTCCTAGGATTTTAGCAAGAACTTCAGGATTGACACATAACGTAACGTTCGTTTATGTATTAGGGCGAGTCCCCACGGGCGTAATTCACGTAAGCATAACTGATCACTTGATTTAATTTGTACGATTCTTAGACAAGGAAAGAGAGAGGACGCGTAACATCCGTTACCTGCACTAACAGCTGGTTGCCACCAAATAATGGCGAGAATTTCATACATCTGTCAAAACTGGTATTCCAACAATAAATTGACATGTTTTGATTGTTGATTTGAACCAATCAGATTGTAATTACGCGATAATTTGCACTAGTGCAAATTATCAGATAATTGCATACTAACTGGTGCGAAAACTGGTGTTTTGACATTTTTTGACAAAAAATTTAAATTTTTGATTTATGAAATTCTCTCATTAAATACAACTCGTGCAATGGAAATATATTTATAATTTTCGACAAATTTGCACTCATGCGTTTTTAACTGAAAAAGGCACTCGTGCACTACGTGCACTCGTGCTCTTTTTCAACAAAATGCATTCGGGCAAATTTCCCAAAAATTATCAATAATTTCCATTGCACTAGTTATATTACTATTAACAATTTTTCATGGTGTCACTATGTGAATTTTACTTCAGACTAACATTTTTGTGGTATTCAGCATGGTGGATTGCTAGCATATGGCTGCAAAACCCGCAGAGAAAAAAAAGTCGACGGGATTACATTTAACAGGCAAAAAACAATATGTTTTCTAGGTTATGTTATGAAAAAAGCAGACATTTTTTGGTGGCAAACTGCTTCATTTACACGTGCTGTGATACGAGTCCCCTATCTTTCCTTGTCTGTACGATTTCATTGGGGGCAGTGCAGCCATCTTGAATTTTTGACATTTTGCTGCCGCTACGGCAAAAAGTTGGGTTTTGTTGAACTTTTCGGCGTAATCGTGGCGAAGTTGTGACGTTTGTGTTTGTTTTTTCTGATAAAGGATAGAAAAATCACAGAAAACCAAAGGAAAAGAACTACAACAACGAATTAGTAAATTTTAATTATGACTAGACAAAAATCAACAAGATATTTGGGTTAGAAAATATTTTTGTTTTGGTTTTGATGCACTACATACGGGGATGTTATGCCAAAATTGGCGTAAAATTGACGTTCATGGCGATTGCGCTAATTAGGCAATCAGGCAATCCAACGACCTGTCCAAATGGCGTCTGGTTGGCAAAAAATAAACAAAAAACATATGTTTTTTTTTGGCCGGATTAAGCTTAGTATGCATAACAGCGAAATTCGCTCTTTTTGACATTGCCTGGACAATTTGATGTTTTATGCGTAAATCAACCGTCAAATTGTCGAAAAATGGTTTATACTTTTGATAAGCCTGCCATACGTCCCGTATTATACGGGACGGTCCCTTATTTCAAGATCCATGTCCCGCGTCCCCAAATTTGTTGTCGGGACGCGTAAATGTCCCGTATTCTCGATATCACAAAAAGCGTAAAGTAATTCGCCCGTCTCATTACCAGTCTCTGTGGTGGCATAAATAAATCGATTTTTGCGCCTCATCTCTAGTCTTAGCAAATCGCAACGTGGTGGTTATTCGTCAGCATTTGACATTTGACAGTTTAGAATTTGGCGAGATTGGCCCAAGGACCATACACACCACTAAGGATTGCTTATCGGCCTCGTTTTGGGTAATCCCCACCATATTGGTGTATCACCATTGCCGACGTCATCAACTAAGTCGTCAGTGACGTCAGCTGTTTGCGCCAGCAGTCATAGTTTAGAATTTAAATTTATGATGAAAAATGTTATTTCATTTTGATCAAGCATAATAGGCAAATAGAAAGATGGAATCATAACCTGTGGTGCAAACAGCCTACGTCAAGGCGAGAAACGACATGCTACCTACGTCACAAATGGTGATTTAGTGGGGTAGGGGGGCTTCGGATTTGTTGTACACAGGCCTTATGAGGATAGGCTATCCTGTAGTAGTAGTGTGCATTATTCGTGGGTTCGTCCTACGGGTGTGGTTCCGAAAAAAAAAAATTCGCCTACGGCGCTATTTTTTCTATAAATACATGACACATTTGCTTCATAAAAATGTCCCGTTTTTTTATCAGAATAATATGGTAGCCTTAACTTTTGACATAATTTGCCTTCCTTTTTTAACAAATAGAAATTGACTGAAACAAATTAATGCATGCTGCTATGACGTCTTCGATGTTAAAAATATAAACCTTCGTGAAACAAACTTTACTTTCCTGCTTTTATTTTTATTATTTTAATGTAAACGCAGATGGTCGATGGACGATGAGCTCGGTACTAAACATAGAATTAAGGTTTATAGTGGGTATAGAATGGACAGTCCCATTATACGGGTCGGACAACCATTTGTGGCGCCATCTGTTGTCTATGAAAGGAGCTCATCCCATTGTAGCAGCTTGTAGAGCAGTTTGCTTCTTATTTTTTTTAGATTTGCTTTTTATTTATTTTATAATAAAGACACAATTTGATACAAATTTAACAAATAACGGTTTATTACAAAGAAAGAAGAAAATTATGTTGGCTTTTCGAAACTTGTCAACAAAGTCAACACTTAACAACACAGAATTAAATAACAATAATAGTCTAAACACTAAAAATAACACTGTGAAAGTTTCAAATACACACAGATATGCTCTATCACTACGAAACACTTTTTCAACGAACAGAAATATTACAGCAACAATAAGAAGCAAAATGTTTTCTAGTTCATCGTTTTGTCATCATTTGTCAATTCATGAATTTATGTCGGTTCATGTCATAATTTAATTAGTAAGCACGTCAACCTTCTTCTGAAGCGGAGATACCTTGGAGATACAATCAACAACGCGTACGCAAATCAATTGGTAGCGCCTCTACCGGGCATGAAACAAGTTTATCATCGAACCAAGTGGTACCATCGTCACCAAAAGTAACTGGGACAGCATCACATTAGCTCTTGTCCTATTATACGAATTGACGTTTTCAATTAAAAGAGACGGACGATAAGTATGAAAACATTCATTTTCCCGCCAACATTTGCTTGCTTGTCAATGTCAATGTGTATTGGGTGTTTAGCAATTCCCTCGTTTTTATTCGAATCGGTGACTTTACCAATGTGTTAGCTATCTTTGTTAAGTGAATGGAAAATGACAATGCCCGACATAGAATGGTGGATGCATCAGTAAAATTTCATAAGAATAATAACGCAGAGTTTGAAATTGAAAAGAAAATGTGGGAAAAGTCACTGCTTCATTCGCAGAACTTCGCTAGGGAGACGGTGGTGAAATATTTTGGTAGCAAACAGCTTCTGCAAACTAAACTTGAACGTGGATTACTTTGTATATTTGATGGGCCGTGGATTTCTCTTTCTTTTGCAAGTATCCTTTCTGATTTTGTGTATCCAAATTTTGGCAAATGTAGGATTTGATGGAAACTTGTGGAAATACACGTTCGCCGGTGAATAAGAATTATTTTTATGAATAGGCACACTACACACAATCACCATTATTAGGAAAAAACCTTGAAAAAACCGAGAATTTAATTTTTTTTTCAAAACTCTTGTCTACAAACCACTGTCAACGGCTGTCAATCATTGTTTTCATACTTCTTTGGCGCCTGACAGTTTGATGCCAGAGAGAGAGGCTTCAAATTGAAAAGGTCAAATTGACCTTTTATCAATTTTTGAAAGGTAGTCGAAAAGCAATAAACGGTTCGGGTGCCACCCTCTGAGTGCTCCCGAGCTACTCCTAAGGACTCCGGCTACAGTTTGGCTCGTTCGGGTGAACAGAAATTGGTGCTCTCGAGCTGCTCTCATTTCCTCGCCTTTTACCTCTGAAGCTCCTATCGTTTGATGGTTGCGTCACGCTCCGGGCAATACGGTTTCAAGCGTTCGAGTGTATAACGGGTGTGAAGTGTTGCTTCGCACTCTGCACCCGAAAGCGGTTAAGGTAGGTGCTTCAGCGGACGGGGACGAGGAAAATAAGAACAGCTCCAAAGCGCGAAATCTGTCCAGACGAACACGCCAAAGGGCGGACGAAGTACTTTGGAGTAGCTCTGGAGTGCTCAAAATATGGCACCCGGCAACGGCTCTATTTCCTTTACTATTATGAAGCTGGTACGTTTAAAAATATAAGTTTTATATTTTTTGAAAGTGAAATTTATTAATAAAGGAATATTTAATAATTCCTGAACGAATATAAGATTGTAAATTTTTTCATCTGATTGTACCACTGTACTCTCAATGTCTTCAATGTACTCCTTTTGGTACAATTGTACCCTCGTCACAACTTTGCCACGATTACGCCGAAAAGTTTAACAAAACCCAACTTTTTGCCGTAGCGGCAGCGTAATGTCAAAAATTCAAGATGGCTACACTGCCGCCAATGAAATCCTACAAATTAAATCACGTGATTAGTTACGCTTACGTCAATTACGTCCGTGAAATCTCGCCCTTAGACAGTCTGGAGAAGTCGTTCTAAAACTGTTCGCGATAAAATAATGGCGTTTTCCATAGGGGAGTACGACAAGTCCGAACTACTGACACTTTTTACCCTGGCCCGTTTTATAATGTCGCACTTTTTACACCATTCGTACCGTTTAGCGTTACATTTTCCCAGTAAGTTTTGATGATTGCGTTCCAAAACATAACTGCACCGCACTAACGCTAACCGGTTCAGACAAATCGTACGCACCACATTTGTTGCACGGAGGTGCACTCAGTGCAATTTTTACATTCCATTTGACTGCATATTATCAATTTTTATTTTCCAATTGAAATCCAGTGCAATTATGTATGCACTCAGTGCGCATTTCTTGGCACGAGCTAGGAAGGCTCGTGGAGAGCCAGTGCAGTTTGTTTTGTTTTTGTTTACATGTACCGTACATAAAAATTTGAAAAATTTCTGCTAATATTTCCAAAGAAAAAGCTGTTGCTCTCTTGGATTTATTATGTAGCATCAGCGAAGATGAATCCGATGATTATATTATTTGAATGAGTTCTACAGCTTCAGGGCCGTGCTAAGCACGCGCGGGCCCCAGTACAGCTATTCCAACGGGCCTTAAAGGGGGCCCCAAACTTTTTTGAGTGGTAACGAATGGCCAAATTTTTACCCAGAAGCCGTTAAAAAAACATGCCTCGGGTATAATTTTTTTAGGTATTTTCGAAGTGAAACCTCTTTGCTTCACAAAAATTCCGATCGCGTGAGGGCCGTAAGGGGAGTATGAACCCGCGCATCAGCAGCGACCGGAGTACGCTTGTCGCTTGATTGAGAGAGATACATTACGTGCCGGTAATTTTGTTCTCAGGTTTCGAATTTGACAGGCGTTAAAAATAATCAGGGGTTTGAATGTGCTCTTACCACACCATACAGATTACAGATCTTGTCCCATGCAAAACCTTGTTAAATTCAATGACATGTCAAATTCGTTATCAAGATCAAAAGTATCGGCCCTACATGATTCAAAATTCTTATCAAATTTAATCTCCGGCTAAATTTAAAGTTGGTGTTAAATGATGGTTTATGAATGTAACAGTTTACGGTTTTGCTCTTAAATTAAATGTCTAGGTTTTACAACCTGTCAAAGTTGCAAAAATAGTATATTATCAACGAGCGGGAAATGATGGCTATTACTACGAGCCGCAGGCGAGTAGTGTAATTATCCGAGCGAGTAATAGCCATTACCTACGAGTAGAATACTTTTTCTATGATTAATAGAAAATATAGGCACGAGTTATGCGATTTTTTATTTAATTAATGTCCGACTGGTATATTATTCGAGAAATAATAACATTACGTCAAAGTCAGTTAAATACGAAATAATTCCCAAGGGCGTTATTTTGAAAAATAACGCCCTAGGGCGTTATGACTTTTTTTTCAAATAGAAAATAATTCCCTAGGGCGTTATTTTTAAATAACGCCCTAGGGCGTTAGGACTATTTTTTTGCAGGTACTTGATTTGTTTTAGATTAATTTATTCAAAATTCATTCAAAATTTTCTCATATCAAAAATAATTAAGTCGGACATTAAACGTAAGGCACGCACCACGGGTATTAAGGATATTAATCTAATTCATTAATTTAATATCCTTATCCCTTGATACCTTAATAACTATTTCGTATAAAAATTAATTGACAATTCTGACAGCTGGAGGATAAAGGCTCGAATTTATAGTGGCTCCTTGGTTTCCTCAGACCTTATGGAAGCCTTGAACATTTGGAATTGACATGACTTACTCGTCAAATAGTAGCCAAATGTCCATTCTAAATTAGTGTCCTCCAAGGAAGACTCAAAGAACGACTATAAATTCGGCCCAAAGTGAGGTAAGGTTAGCACAAGTCTTGTCCAAATCAGCTGTCAAAATGACCGATTGGAAGGTTGAAGTACCTATGTTGTCAACTTGTCGGATTTTCTGATTGGCTCTTAAATAATGGAGTACTGCGACCAGAATATTTTCATTGGTTGAAAACAATTAAGTAGTAAGTACCTAAAGAAAAAAAAAACTCACTGTATGAGTAATCATTCACATTGATCAATAGAAAATGGATGTATATTACCATTGTATAATACGCATATTATTCAAAACTCATAGAAAGAAGTTAATTTTCAACTGATGTCAATATTTCCAAAACACTCAAAACAGATTATAGGGCAGCGGTTCCCAACCGGTGGGTGGCGACCCCTAAGGGGGTCGCATAGGGTTTTTGGAGGGGTCGCAATGCCAATATTAATATATATTTTTCTGCATTTCACAACACGCCTTAGCCTCTGCCTCAAAAGCCGCGCACCATTGCATCGGCCTCACGGACGAAGCGCATAGCACAGGTTGTGAGTGCTGTGTTGTGAGTCGCATGTTTTTGAACATAGGTAGCTATGCATAATGGCTGAAGCTAGTCGCGGGAAAATATCGAGTTCTAAAACTATCGATAGTTTGATAGTAGTGGTTGATTAACTATCGATATATCGATAGTACTATCGGTTTAAAAATATAACCTAGAACTGAAATTAAAATTGAAGATTCTAATAGCAAAGTCTCTAATAGTATTTGTACAAAAATATTTATTTAACTACGACGCTTTAAGAAAGCAACCATTTATTTTTGATGAGAAACTTGGAATATTGTGTACAACACTAGAGTAGATGTGAATACTAATATAAGCTTGCCTATATACCACAGTATGCTCTAACAAAACAGTCCCTATTTTATGAAAGCAAGAAAATGTATCCAAGTACTGATCTGAAAATTATTGCAAATTACAAATTATTTCGTTGGGGTAATGAAAATATTTTATTACAGGAAGCTTATTACTACAGCTTGGAGGACTACTGTAGTGATACTTTTTGACTTGCCAGCCTTTTTATAGTCTAGGTAATTTTAAGAATTTCTGTGTTTTATTTACATTATATAGGGAGTTATGATAGGCTTTCTGTTTGCATTAATAATTGATTGGTTTGTTTTACTTTTACTTTTGTTGTCAATTTGTTTTGGTGTATGCTTCCTCAATAGATTTTTTATTAGTTAATAAATTGACCAAAACATAATATTATGTTAACAAGTAGTGTTGGGTCGTTTTAAGTTCTAAGATACCAACCTGCTGGTTTTGAATCGAATTACTACTCTCCACGTCGTCTGAGCTATTGTAAGCCTCATCGGGTATTGATTTTTTGCCTCTCACTCCTGTGAATCCCGAGGGAGCTCTTTTGTGGTGTTCGTCGTCGGCACTGGAACACGTCGTTGATAGAAGTAGAGTCATTGTCACTAGTGAAGTGAGACGGTGAAGAAACCTCATGTTGATGTAAATCTGAAAAGTAGAAAAATCGATTGTAAGTTTATGTGGCAGTTGTAAAATGAATGAAGTGGCTCTTTGCCCATTTGTCCCCTGTTCGCTTACTATTTGCATATGGTTTGAGGAAAAGTTAGGTCGCTATTTACGATATAGGTACTCTAGCTCCATCTCGTAATGAGACTAACTCCAGCTTATGTGGATGAAAAGCTTCGACCTCTTATCGACGGCAATATAGAGAAAGGATAATTTTTTTTCCCGCTTAACAGCCTTTTCAAAGAAACATTCACAGTATAAAATGGAACGTATGCTAGCACAATATGATGATCCAATTAAAAATTTACAACGGGTCTTTATATTACAAAGATACCCGGTAGAGTAAAATTTTATACCCCGGATTCATAAAAATGTAAAGCAGCAACGGCACTGTGTAAGCGGTTTAAGGCCATGTATGAATTTTTGCCCTGACGCAAAAATGTTTATGGTTGCACAATTTATACGTCATACGTGCAGGGACGAGGATCTTAAAGAAAATATTAGTATTTATCAGGAACTGAAAATTCTGTTTTTAGAAGATTAAATCAAATCAATCTTGAATCCTCCTCTTGTATATTTTCCGTTTATATCATTTAATGAATAAATTTATTTGAACCTCTAGTGAAATATAGGTTTGATTTAAATTAGCATAATTTCCTATAAAAATTCATTACACTTTTTTTATTTTTGCATTTTCACGTTCAATTAGCTGGAAAGCTACTTTCGTTTTTCCAGTCAAAGTGTCAAAGCGGCGGTTTCGTATTTAAACTTCAAAATCTTCTTGAAGTCTCTTTCGCTAGCTAACGCTGGATGTTGGAACTAAACCACTGGAGTGCATAAGTGCAAATAAATAGTCGTTTTAACGTAAGCCACTTTGTACTAAGAGCCCGAGTCTCTTATTCTAATTTCATTGATTTCTGAAGATACCTATTTAGGAAGTTACTTTACATTATTGCTTTCCAGTGATTAAATCAATGTTTCATTTCCCCTTTTGCTGGTTTAGATTATGTTAAGTGCTTTTTAATTTAATTGATTTTATTACTGTTATTTCCTTCTAATCGTTATTAACCAATTATTTATCTCAGAATGTTCTACCGGTAATAAATTTTACTGGCTATGTACAACTCCGCTGCTATAACCTTACACCATAAGGTTTTAAAACTTTGCTAGATCAAGCAATACGAACTGTTTAGAATAACGGAGTTTCCTGGATAGAGTGGACCAGATACACTATTTTAAATGGTTTAATAAAAGTCAATTGCCAAAATTTTGAAAGTTGTATTTTAAGATTACACACGACGACACAATTTAAAGTCGAAGGAATCTGAACACTTAAAATATATGTGTCTCTGGCTATAGACCGATTGCGAACTTATTAGTTCTCGTTACTTCAACACAACTTCCTTGCCCGTACCATTTGTACATCATGAAGTTGTGTACAGATACCACTAGCGTATACTCGCTGGTTGCTCACAAACTGGCCCAAGGAGATTCGTAGAGCAGTGTTGAGCAATTTGGATTCCAGGACGGCGAGTTTTAGTGTTGCATCTGGCGGCGGAGCTCCAGACTGAATAAGTATACATGAGGACCATGAGGATAGGCCTCACGTATGCTTGGTAGATTTTTTGTTTGGTTACTTGGTTTAGGCCGGATTTGGAATTGAACGGAAAGCTATGGTTGGCAGCAACGTCTTCTGACCAAGTTGATATGTCTTGAAGTAGATGAGTTGTGGGTCGAGTCTATGTATGGTCAAGGTAGGTCTTCTGATTAATTTCGATGGTTGTCTTGGTTCTATTCTTTTTATGTTTGATGTTGTTGAGCTTGTTTTTCGGCTCATTCACTTCAATTTCCATTTGTGACAATATTTGTTTAAAATTCTGGCTTTGAAGGTTTTGAATGTTCTAGATTTGGTGGAGATGGGTATATCGTATATCTTCAGAGCATAACTATCTCCGTCTTATCTGATTTGAGGAAGTCAATAAATACAAATCTCAAAGAGTCTGGGAAAGGGGACGCTGCCTTGTTGAAGTCCATGGTGATTGACCCAGTACCATTATTACAGATCCTGTAAGTGCGGTTGAAAAGGATGGTAGTGATGGCTTCGGTTAGGGTGAGATGGACAGCTGTATTATTATGACTGTCATGACATTCTTCCAGGTTATGATCCGAGTGTTTTTCTTTTGTATGGTCACCACTACTGGGAGAAGGACTTCTGGCTGCCTTTTCGCTTATAGCTTTTGATCAGCTTTCAAAAGTTGTTGGTATCGATAGCTACCAGAAGTATTTTGTTCCAGAGGTCATTTTGGAATGGAACCAGGGCTCTGACGATTCCGCACTCTGGAATCATCTCCTAAAGGTGCTGATTGTCTTATGTCGCTTTTTGAGACGCATATTGTTTCAACCTCAAGGAGAAAGCTACTTTTTATATCGCGCCACAAACATAATGTCTTTTTCAACCACCACAACACAGAACGATTAAGAAAATACACGTACACCCCACACCTGATGTTAGATTTTTCACATCACGAGGCGACGCGACGATTCGCATAATCAATTAATCTCAAGGGTCAGTTGTGTAGCTCCACAGCCTTGTCGGTTATTATCATTTCTGGGATTCATAAAGGACAATCGAATTTGTTCACATTGGTGTCTACGCAAGGCACGATATGCGATACCTACGTGTTTTTTTTATGCATCCGCTCGGTCACGCTGCTTGTTAAACCAGGGTTTTTCGTAACGGGATGTTTTATTATTGGATTGTGGAATGTACAATTCCATATCAAAGGAAATTATTTCGGTAACCTCTTGTGCAGCCTCGGAGAAATCTTTGGATTTAAAGCAAACATCGGACCATAGAAGGGTCGAGAAAAAGAGTTTTATGCCTTCTGGTAGGGGATGATTTTTCCTGGGCCAAAATAAAAGGAAATAAGCGTATTCGCCTCACAGAATAGCATACCCTCGTCGAGCCACTGTTTTCTATCCAATAGTTGTGGCCACACTTTTCATCAAACTTTTCATTCTTCCCAGAATCATTAAGTTAGAGGTTTATTAATGGAATTGATTTGCTGTTAGTGGGGTTAAAATAAATAGACAATTAATTTATTAACAAACAAAATCACAATATTAACATTAGAACAGCTGATTGTCTGATCCGATTAGATTGATTGATTTACAGCGCTCCAAATAGGGACAGTGACCGGTACTAACTTAATTTGAATAAGTCCCATGCCCCAACCCAACTACCATCAAAATTAGGCAATCCAAACCACGTGACTTTTTTTGACGGATTGTTGGCACACAAAAGATTTTCTTAGTTCAATATTGTGTCATTTTCTGTGGTGACTGCGTATTTTGCTGCTCATTGCTTAATTTTGTGAGTTCTAAGACCTTAATTATTTTATTTGAGTTTATATAAACATTTTTAAAGACATTGAAAATATTTTCGCGAGTTGAAACTTTCATTTCTATTGAAATATAGCTTCCAGAGAAAGTCCATATTTGTGCGAGTTGTGGAAAAGCTGTCCTGAGGCCGCTCTTGGATTTGCTAGTGTTTTCCAAATAACTTCAATGGATATTATTAGCTATATTGTTCTAACGCATAGCTTTTACACCAATGCACAAATGAGGGCCTATAAGAGTCTAGATGCTTACAAAATTTAATGACAATGTTAACTCACAATAATTTAGAATTATTTTGAAAGGAAATTTGTAAAAAGCTGGAATTAATTATGTTAAAATCCCCAACGTCAAAGGTAAACACAAAAGACGAGGACTGATGACACAAGAAATTAATGACGATTTCCATTCGTCGATCAGTGCGCACTGAGTATATCCGCATCTTTTTCTAAAAGCATGTAACATTTAAGGATAAGGATACATTTTTTTTGCACTGGTTCGACAAATGGAAAACGCTATTAGGGTTATGGGCATATGTGTGCCAACCATTGAGGTTGCCAACAGTCGGCCATATTTGACACATCGTTGGATTGCCTAATTCCCCAGTACCTTCAACCTTGGAGTTTTGATATAACCTTTTTGAAGGACATTGCAGGGACAAGCAGAGGTCATTCAGGTCGAGGAATTTCTACGATTAAGTGTTCGGGAAAACTCCTCAGGCACATTTTGCCGATTTCTGAGTTGCCAAGTTTTCGCTCATAAATCTAGGGTAAGTGACCAACTATTGCAATTCTACGCGACATATATTTTTTTCAAATTTTTTGAACTTGTAGTTTTCTCGCTATTGCAAAAATAGTTGGAAATACGCCCGTAGCTACACTGTTTAGAAAAAAATCCGACGGATGAACGTTCAAAATTATTTGCATTGGTCGAAACTACAAGCCGGTTTATGTAAAACAGAATAATACTTCGAATTTCCGCCAAAAAAAGAAAAAACGTTCCATCACACAATTTAACCAAATGAAGATTTCTATTTTTTTTGACAGTCAAGTTAGGGCACACTATAGGGGCGACAGCATTGACATCTCGCGTTGAAAAAAATGTGAGCTGGTGGCTCCCTACATTAAAACGCCAGTGGCCACCTGACGTCACACCTGTTTTTGCCCTAAGCTTCACCCCCTCGCTCCTCATACAGAAAGTGTCAGATTAAAAACGACGGACAATATGAGGATAGGCCATGCTGTAGTAGTAGTGTAGTGTGTATCATCTTTGGGACAAAGTCACAAAGTTCTCAAAAATCTTGTTTCCATTTTCAATTTTAGTTTTTTTAGGTTTCTGAGTGGTGATAAAATATGTATCTAGTTATACAAAATATGTAATGAGATACAAAAAAATAATAAAAAAATCACAGTCCTTCACAAGGATGCAAGCGGGGAGGACATTGAAAATGCTGAAGCAGAGTTCAATGCTAATGCTTGTGACTATTATAACTTGTGAACTCTGAGTGCCTCTGAGATCTTCGAAAACTTGTAAATTTGAATATAACTATTGAACGAAATAGTATGTATTTTTAAATTGATTTGAAA